GGTGGGAAAGTCGAGTAGGAGGAAGGGAGAGAGGGAAGAAGATAGAAAGGAAGGTACGACAAAAGACAATTAGATCTACACATAGAAGGAAACTAACAGTAAAGGATCTGGAAATTATGATGTCTGACGACCTGATATCCAGTGAATATAACCGAGAAAACATAGCGCCGGCGGCGGCCAGGAAAATGATGGTATGGTTTATGCGAACGTTCAAGTCCCACAGCAATATTATTTAAATCACTTGCGCTGTCCCGTCTTGAGTACTGCTCAGTACTCGAGGGAGGCGGGGAGGACGGCAAGGCGAGACGGAAGGAGGAATTGAAAGCAGTTTATCAACAACTTCTCTGATAACCACAACTTCTGAACTGTGTCAAAAACTATCTAGGTCACGGGTATTTACAACAATTTCCATAAATCCGTCAATTATAAATATTACTATAATGAATATTAGTTACATTATTCTTATACTTTATATGAAATAATCATCACAATCCTCATTGATTGTTGTAAACAGGAGGAGGTAGAGGGACCGTCCCGCCACCACCATTGTACACTGAACCTAATCTTCAAATTCACAATCCAAAATCCAGAGAATTATTAGTCAGTCTCTGGGAACAGCTGCTACGATCCCTGTAATATCCACGAATTAATTAGATAATACTCTAGCCTTTCTAATTAATGTTTACAATTACAATTTTCATTATAGCTGATGAAACCTTACATAATACAACAGTAATTTGGTAATAGTTGTTTCAAGGAATTTTTTTTATTGGAATTTAGAATAGAAGTGAGGACCAGTCTATCAGTTTATGTATACAATGTATCCATACACTAAATGTACATATACATACTCCTGCTCACCTATGTGTACTGTCACGTATTATTATTATTATTTCGTTGCTGTTCTTACTCTCTGTTCAACCTGTCTTCTACAACCTGTCCCCTACAACCTGTCCCCTACATCCTGTCCTCCTACAACCTGTCCTCCTACAACCTGTCCCCTACATCCTGTCCTCCTACAACCTGTCCTCCTACAACCTGTCCCCTACATCCGGTCCTCCTACAACCTGTCCTCCTACAACCTGTCCTCCTACGACCTGTCCTCCTACAACCTGTCCCCTACATCCTGTCCTCCAACAACCTGTCCCCTACAACCTGTCCTCCTACAACCTGTCCCCTACAACCTGTCCCCTACAACCTGTCCCCTACAACCTGTCCCCTACAACCTGTCCCCTACGATCTGTCCTCCTACGATCTGTCCTCCTACAACCTGTCCTCCTACGACCTGTCCTCCTACAACCTGTCCCCTACATCCTGTCCTCCTACAACCTGTCCTCCTACAACCTGTCCTCCTACAACCTGTCCTCCTACAACCTGTCCCCTACGACCTGTCCTCTACAACCTGACCTACAACCTGTCCTCCTACAACCTGTCCTCCTGCAACCTGTCCTCCTACAACCTGTCCCCTACAACCTGTCCTCCTCAACCTGTCCTCCTACAACCTGTCCCCTACAACCTGTCCTACAACCTGTCCTCCTACAGCCTGTCCCCTACAACCTGTCCCTTACATCCTGTCTTCCTACAATGAACGTCGCTTTTCGCACGTATGCGTTAAATAAAACCAAAAATTGTCGAACCAGACAATGGAAGCGGCTAGCGACAGTGATGAACTATCTCCCGTTTTCTGTTTTGGGTCCTCTGGTAGGTTAGGAGAGGACACTTTAAATTGACCGTTTTCTTGGCGTTGGGGAACCTTAGGAGGACTGACTGCTCTGTCACGGCCGCCTGGCCCTTACTACCCTGTCATGTATTGAGCCGTTCTCGTAGGCTAGTACTGCTATATTCTATGGTTAGTTACACTTACCTGACCGCTAGACACAGGGAATCGTAATACCCATACCCAAGCCTAATTCACAAAAATTCAGACCCATTTCTCTGACGCAGTGCATGTCTAAAGTTTTTGAGAGAATTATTCTCGACAGATGTGGGAACCGACCTGTGAGATTTATATTTATTTAATTTAAATGAATTTATATTTACGTTAATTTATATACTTCGATAGCAATTTGTATGATGTTAAGTGGACTGTATTTCTGCAATAATCTCATAATCTCACAAATCGATCCTCTACACATTAGGGGGGTTTATATAAATTTAATTTATATATATGCAGCCAATCAAACTACAGTATTAGACTACATACATTGAAAAGGTTCCTTATCTTATTTGTACAGCAAGCTTTAGTCCACCAGGTATAACTAGGGTGTAGACGCCACATTTTCCCTCTTTGAGGTAGCTTCCATCACCCTGGTAACTGATGTACAAAGCATGCTTCCTCGTCTTGACCTGTCAAAAGGGCGCTAGCTGTAAAGCCAGATACCTATATATGACAAGCTATATCAGAGAAAACACTGTACATGGAAACTTAAAGACCTGGCTTAATTACCTTTAGTTTGAGGCTACCACGTGCTCTAACCGGATCACCCTATATAATGACATTAATGGCCATAAATGAAAGATACATGGGTTTCGGAAAGAACACTTAACTTGATTTGTTGACAGCGTGTTGATAATGGTACACCTTTGGTTTCCATAACACTACGTCCAAGTAAAATTAACAGGAGCCGAATTTGCTCCTGTGAGCCTCTGGTCTAGTATCAACAATGGCTGCCCTCCTTCCCCACTGACGCCTGGCCTACATTGTCCAGATGTCGATAATGGTAAAGTCCAAAGACTAATGTATTTAAGAATAATTCCCACCATAATAGGTGGTGATTTATAATAGTATGTGGTGATGATATCCCGTTTTCTATAGACGGTAATTCCACTACAAGTTACGTTTTCTATGGGTAACTTGTTTATACAATACAGCTATTATCTGTATGATTATTAAATGGTGTCGGATTTTCCGACAACAGACTAATGTTTCAAATCAAGCCCAAATCAAATATCAAATCAAGTATCATGCACACCTGTCACCAAGAAAGGTAATGAGAATCTTGCTCTTCTCAAAGCTGTCACACTTGAAACAATTGCCTCCTCCGTCGAGAATTTAAGATCTCACGAGCACTGCGTCTACACCGACGGCTCAGTCCAATCTTCTACTGGACGGACTGCAGCAGCATGTAGGTTTTATAGAAATAATATTTGCACAAAGACTGTCAGTGTCAGGTTAAACAACTGGCTGACCTCCACACAAGCAGAACTAGCAGCATTACAACTAGCTACCAGTACATTAAAAAACATTGGAGGAGGAATAATACTTTGTGATTCAAAGTCTGCTAATCAAGCAATCGAAAACTTCGCCTGGAAGATCGACAGCAAGAACCTCATACTACCAATTATAAATGACCTAATTGATGCACAGAGTAAAGGGTCTCGAATCTCCTTTGTATTCGAAAACTTCGCCTGGAAGATCGACAGCAAGAACCTCATACTACCAATTATAAATGACCTAATTGATGCACAGAGTAAAGGGTCTCGAATCTCCTTTGTATGGATAGCTTCACAAATAAATATAATCCATCATAATGAGACAGACATTGCAGCCAAATTACCGTGTAACAAAGATGAAGTTGAATTAGATCTAGGTATCACCATCTCTGTTACTAACAAAACTGTATTGGTCCAAACACTCAGGTCTGATAGAAAAGAAATTACAGGCTCCCAACGACCTGAAAGCGCCAGTATAAAAAGCTATGATTTGTTCAGATCTGAAACCTATATCCATGGGCAGCACAAAACGTGGACCAGACTGTGCGACAGTGGTTGCCAGGATCAGGTTGGGTTACCGTTACCTGTGGCAGGTGGCTACAGGTGACGGATCTCCTAATTCTGAGCACTCCAGGTGCAAACTCTGTGAGCAGGAACTGCGGCATGATCTCCCGCACTACATCACCGAATGCTCAGTTATTAGACCTTTCAGACCAGTTGGCATGAGGTACCTGGAGCTTTGCAATTACTTTATTCACTCTCGTATTCTTGAAGATATCCTCACAGTGTACCCAAAATTTGCTAGTGCAGGCTATTAAACACATGGCTCTGTATGACTAACCATTCGGCGAGATGGGTACTTTTATTTTCACTGCTGCCTTATTCACTCTTGCGTTGATGATATCCTCGTAATGCACCCAGAGTCTGCCATCCTGTGTGATGGGGATTTTTTAGCACCACATAGCTAGCTTTTGACACACTGTACTCCCGTTTATATAGTCTAGGGCAGCTGCACAAATGCAGATGTACATAATACATTAATTATAAAAAAATATTTGCTAGACACTGGAAATATATTAGAAAAATTTGTACTCTCTATATATATCCCCACTCATCAGTTTCTCAAACAACTCTTGGCTCTTCAGCAACTTAAATGAATTAATAATTGTGCCTTATATGGATATCTGGCGGTGTATAACTCTGTAAAACCACGAGAAAACTTCCCTTCCCTTACGCCACCTTCGTCTCCCCCGAGCCCGCCATGTAACGCGCCCCTTGATACCTGAGCGTCCATCATTTCCGAATAATCTCTTAAATATTCCCATTTAACCGTAATCTACTTGTAGGTCATAGGAACCATTCCTTTATAAAAGATTTACATACAATGTACATGTAATCCATAATAAACACCTGATTGCCAGTACTAGCTTTCTAACTAGTACTAACCAGTACTAGACCGCTAGTACTAGTTTCATGGGCGGAGTGATACCAGCGCCCTAAGGCCTCCCAGCCGCCCCTGGAACATACACATACATACTCCCGTTCACCTATGTGTACAATGTATCCAAATACTTAACATACATATGCATACTCCCGTTCACGTATTTATATTTTCATTCATGTGACTATGCTTTCAAGACAACTTTCTATTAATCCTTGTGCTCATTCGTCTAGCTGTGCCACAGTCATCCATCTATCCATACAGCCATCCATGTATCCAAAGAGCCATCCATGTATCCAAACAGCCATCCATGTATCCAAACAGCCATCCGTGTACCCAAACAGCCATGTATGTATCCAAACAGCCATCCATGTATCCAAACAGCCATCCATGTATCCAAACAGCCATCCATGTATACAAACAGCCATCCATGTATCCAAACAGCCATCCATGTATCCAAACAGCCATCCATGTATCCAAACAGCCATCCATGTATCCAAAAAGCCATCCATGTATACAAACAGCCATCCATGTATCCAAACAGCCATCCATGTTTCCAAACAGCCATCCATGTATCCAAACATCTATCCATGTATCCAAACAGCCATCCATGTATCCAAACAGCCATCCATGTATCCAAACAGCCATCCATGTATCCAAACAGCCATCCATGTACCCAAACAGCCATCCATGTACCCAAACAGCCATCCATGTACCCAAAGAGCCATCCATGTATCCAAACAGCCATCCGTGTATCCAAACAGCCAACTATGTATCCAAACATCTATCCATGTATCCAAACAGTCATCCATGTATCCAAACATCTATCCATGTATCCAAACAGCCATCCATGTACCCAAACAGCCATCCATGTATCCAAACAGCCATCCATGTATCCAAACATCTATCCATGTATCCAAACAGCCATCCATGTACCCAAACAGCCATCCATGTATCCAAACAGCCATCCATGTATTCAAACAGCCATCCATGTATCCAAACAGCCATCCATGTATCCAAACAGCCATCCATGTATCCAAACAGCCATCCATGTATCCAAACAGCCATCCATGTATCCAAACAGCCATCCATGTATCCAAACAGCCATCCGTGTACCCAAACAGCCATGTATGTATCCAAACAGTCATCCATGTATCCAAACAGCCATCCATGTATTCAAACAGCCATCCATGTATCCAAACAGCCATCCATGTATCCAAACAGCCATCCATGTATCCAAACAGCCATTCATGTATTCAAACAGCCATCCATGTATCCAAACAGCCATCCATGTATCCAAACAGCCATCCATGTATCCAAACAGCCATCCATGTATCCAAACAGCCATCCATGTATTCAAACAGCCATCCATGTATCCAAACAGCCATCCATGTATCCAAACAGCCATCCATGTATCCAAACAGCCATCCATGTATCCAAACAGCCATCCATGTATCCAAACAGCCATCCATGTATCCAAACAGCCATCCGTGTACCCAAACAGCCATGTATGTATCCAAACAGCCATCCATGTATCCAAACAGCCATCCATGTATCCAAACAGCCATCCGTGTACCCAAACAGCCATGTATGTATCCAAACAGCCATCCATGTATCCAAACAGCCATCCATGTATCCAAACAGCCATCCATGTATCCAAACAGCCATCCATGTATCCAAACAGCCATCCATGTATCCAAACAGCCATCCGTGTATCCAAACAGCCATCCGTGTATCCAAACAGCCATCCATGTATCCAAACAGCCATCCATGTATCCAAACAGCCATCCATGTATCCAAACAGCCATCCATGTATCCAAACAGCCATCCATGTATTCAAACAGCCATCCATGTATCCAAACAGCCATCCATGTATCCTAACAGCCATCCATGTATCCAAACAGCCATCCATGTATCCAAACAGCCATCCATCTAAACACACACATTTCCTTCCACAGTGTGTTATCTCTTAGGCACTTCCTGCACTTAAGGCGGTCCACCTGTCCTCTGTGCGTGCCTTGTTGGGGGCGTGGGGGTGCCAGTGGTGGGGCATGGGGGTGCCAGTGGTGGGGCGTAGGGATGCCAGTGGTGGGGCATGGGGTGCCAGTGATGGGGCGCGGGGGTGCCAGTGGTGGGGCATGGGGGTGCCAGTGGTGGGGCGTGGGGGTGCCAGTGGTGGGGCGTGGGGGTGCCAGTGGTGGGGCGTGGGGGTGCCAGTGGTGGGGCGTGGGGGTGCCAGTGGTGGGGCGTGGGGATGCCAGTGGTGGGGCATGGGGTGCCAGTGATTGGGCGCGGGGGTGCCAGTGGTGGGGCATGGGGGTGCCAATGGTGGGGCGTGGGGGTGCCAGTGGTGGGGCGTGGGGGTGCCAGTGGTGGGGCATGTGGGTGCCAGTGGTAGGGCGTGGGGGTGCCAGTGGTGGGGGCGCGGGGGTGCCGGTGGTGGGGCGTGGGGGTGCCAGTGGTGGGGCGTGGGGGTGCCAGTGGTGGGGCATGGGGGTGCCAATGGTGGGGCGTGGGGGTGCCAGTGGTGGGGCGTGGGGGGTGCCAGTAGTGGGGGCGTGGGGGTGCCAGTGGTGGGGCGTGGGGGTGCCAGTGGTGGGGGCGCGGGGGTGCCGGTGGTGGGGCGTGGGGGTGCCAGTGGTGGGGCGTGGGGGTGCAAGTGGTGGGGCGTGTGGGTGCCAGTGGTAGGGCGTGGGGGTGCCAGTGGTGGGGCATGGGGGTGCCAATGGTGGGGCGTGGGGGTGCCAGTGGTGGGGCGTAGGGATGCCAGTGGTGGGGCATGGGGTGCCAGTGGTGGGGCGTGGGGGTGCCAGTGGTGGGGCGTGGGGGTGCCAGTGGTGGGGCGTGGGGGTGCCAGTGGTGGGGCGTAGGGATGCCAGTGGTGGGGCATGGGGTGCCAGTGGTGGGGCGTGGGGGTGCCAGTGGTGGGGCGTGGGGGTGCCAGTGGTGGGGCGTGGGGGTGCCAGTGGTGGGGCGTAGGGATGCCAGTGGTGGGGCATGGGGTGCCAGTGGTGGGGCGTGGGGGTGCCAGTGGTGGGGCGTGGGGGTGCCAGTAGTGGGGCGTGGGGGTGCCAGTGGTGGGGCGTGGGGGTGCCAGTGGTGGGGCGTGGGGGTGCCAGTGGTGGGGCGTTGGGGGTGCCAGTAGTGGGGGCGTGGGGGTGCCAGTGGTAGAGCGTGGGGTGCCAGTGGTGGGGCGTGGTGGTGCCAGTGGTGGGGCGTGGGGGTGCCAGTGGTGGGGGCGCGGGGGTGCCGGTGGTGGGGCGTGGGGGTGCCAGTGGTGGGGCGTGGGGGTGCCAGTGGTGGGGCGTGGGGGTGCCAGTGGTAGGGCGTGGGGGTGCCAGTGGTGGGGGCGCGGGGGTGCCGGTGGTGGGGCGTGGGGGTGCCAGTGGTGGGGCGTGGGGGTGCCGGTGGTGGGGCGTGGGGGTGCCAGTGGTGGGGCGTGGGGGTGCCAGTGGTGGGGCGTGGGGGCACTGACACAATTTCTGATGCCAGTCCAAGTTTCTACGTATGAGCCACAAGCACTCGGGTGGAAGTGCTTTCAGCGCCTTCAACAAGTGGAATGCGCTGAAAGTAGTAGTTAAGGAAGTTGTAGTAGTTGAAGTCTCCATCCACAACTTCAAGACCAGATTCGACAAAGATTCGAACATCACAATAGGTAAATAAAGACGAAACAGCTATATTAAAGTTAGTAGGCGAGGCATAAAGAGCTGGTCCCCTCGCCCCCTTCATAATCAATGCAAGGCAATTAGTGGCAGCAGAACTGATTAGGATTGATAGCTAAATGTGCGATGAAATCCCACTGAAAAGTTAAGCACCACCAGGGAATTACCTGCCTGTTCCTCGCCCTCCAAAACACACACCCGACCAGGCTCCTTTTCCCATACTAATGAGAAGTAATTCACTAGCTGGCCACATAAACCCAAACTGTCCGGAACACGAGAAAATCTACGGAAATGCTGACCAACAAAACCAAAACGGAACACAAGTCATTAAAACACACCAAAATAAAAACAGGATATATACATATGTTACAAAATGAAAAAATCGAAATAAAACACATGGTTAAAAAAACCTAAAAAATCCATAACCCTCGTTAACCATACATTCTTCAGCACGAAAGGGGAGGAATAATGGGAAACGAGTTAACCGACTAGAACGAAAAATCCACAAGAGTGAATAAACGAAGCGAAGACAACTTCACGTTGAGTCGGTGTATTACAGAACCTTAGCACGAGGTCCTAGTGATCTGTGGAGGTATAGAATGTCTTTCAGTACCACAAGAGATCTTAAAGAAAACGATATAAAACTGTGTGACTGCAAAACATGTCCCTAAGAACAGCTTCAAAACGCCGCCCGCTGTATGACCGGACAATCCAGGATCTCAATGAACATCTGACTACAGCAACAAGCCACCAGGGTATGGAACAACAAGCCACTAGGGTGTGGAACAACAAGCTACTAGCGTGTGGAACAACAAGCCACTAGGGTGTGGAACAACAAGCTACTAGCGTGTGGAACAACAAGCCACTAGGGTGTGGAACAACAAGCCACTAGGGTGTGGAACAACAAGCTACTAGCGTGTGGAACAACAAGCCACTAGGGTGTGGAACAACAAGCCACTAGGGTGTGGAACAACAAGCCACTAGGGTGTGGAACAACAAGCCACTAGGGTGTGGAACAACAAGCCACTAGGGTGTGGAACAACAAGCCACTAGGGTGTGGAACAACAAGCTACTAGCGTGTGGAACAACAAGCCACTAGGGTGTGGAACAACAAGCCACTAGGGTGTGGAACAACAAGCCACTAGGGTGTGGAACAACAAGCTACTAGCGTGTGGAACAACAAGCCACTAGGGTGTGGAACAACAAGCCACTTGGGTGTGGAACAAGCTACTAGCGTGTGGAACAACAAGCCACTAGGGTGTGGAACAACAAGCCACTAGGGTGTGGAACAACAAGCTACTAGCGTGTGGAACAACAAGCCACTAGGGTGTGGAACAACAAGCCACTAGGGTGTGGAACAACAAGCTACTAGCGTGTGGAACAACAAGCCACTAGGGTGTGGAACAACAAGCCACTAGGGTGTGGAACAACAAGCCACTAGGGTGTGGAACAACAAGCCACTAGGGTGTGGAACAACAAGCTACTAGCGTGTGAAACAACAAGCCACTAGGGTGTGGAACAACAAGCCACTAGGGTGTGGAACAACAAGCCACTAGGGTGTGGAACAACAAGCTACTAGCGTGTGGAACAACAAGCCACTAGGGTGTGGAACAACAAGCCACTAGGGTGTGGAACAACAAGCTACTAGCGTGTGGAACAACAAGCCACTAGGGTGTGGAACAACAAGCCACTAGGGTGTGGAACAACAAGCTACTAGCGTGTGGAACAACAAGCCACTAGGGTGTGGAACAACAAGCCACTAGGGTGTGGAACAACAAGCTACTAGCGTGTGGAACAACAAGCCACTAGGGTGTGGAACAACAAGCCACTAGGGTGTGGAACAACAAGCTACTAGCGTGTGGAACAACAAGCCACTAGGGTGTGGAACAACAAGCCACTAGCGTGTGGAACAACAAGCCACTAGGGTGTGGAACAGCAAGCCTCCATGGTGTGGAACAGCAAGCCTCCAGGGTGTGGAACAGCAAGCCCCAGGGTGTGGAACAACAAGCCACCAGGGTGTGGAACAACAAGCCACCAGGGTGTGGAACAACAAGCCTCCAGGGTGTGGAACAACAAACCAGCAGGGTGTGAAACAACAAGCCCCCAGGATGTGGAACAACAAGCCACCAAGGTGTGGAACAACAAGCCACCAGGGTGTGGAACAAGCCACCAGGGTGTGGAACAACAGGCCTCCAGGGTGTGGAACAACAAGGCACCAGGGTGTGGAACAACAAGCCACCAGGGTGTGGAACAACAAGCCACCAGGGTGTGGAACAACAAGCCACCAGGGTGTGGAACAACAAGCCACCAGGGTGTGGAACAACAAGCCTCCAGGGTGTGGAACAACAAACCAGCAGGGTGTGAAACAACAAGCCCCCAGGATGTGGAACAAGAAGCCATCAAGGTGTGGAACAACAAGCCACCAGGGTGTGGAACAAGCCACCAGGGTGTGGAACAACAGGCCTCCAGGGTGTGGAACAACAAGCCACCAGGGTGTGGAACAACAAGCCACCAGGGTGTGGAACAACAAGCCACCAGGGTGTGGAACAACAAGCCACCAGGGTGTGGAACCACAAGCCACCAGGGTGTGGAACAACAAGCCACCAGGGTGTGGAACAACAAGCCAACAGGGTGTGGAACAACAAGCCACCAGATTGTGGAACAACAAGCCCCCAGGGTGTGGAACAACAAGCCCATAGGGTGTGGAACAAAAAGCCACAAGGGTGTGGAGCAAGCCACCAGGGTGTGGAACAGCAAGCCCCTAGGGTATGGAACAAGACACCAGGGTGTGGAACAAGCCCCAAGGGTGTGGAACAACAAGCCCCCAGGGTGTGGAACAACAAGCCACCAAGGTGTGGAACAACAAGCCACCAGGGTGTGGAACAACAAGCCACCAGGATGTTGAACAACAAGCCCCCAGGGTGTGGAACAACAAGCCCCCAGGGTGTGGAACAACAAGCTACCAGGGTGTGGAACAACAAGCCCCCAAGGTGTGGAACAACAAGCCCCCAGGGCGTGGAACAACAAGACATCAGGGTGTGGAACAACAAGCCCCAAGGGTGTGGAACAACAAGCCCCAAGGGTGTGGAACAACAAGCCCCCAGGGTGTGGAACAACAAGCTACCAGGGTGTGGAACAACAAGCTCCCAAGGTGTGGAACAACAAGCCCCCAGGGTGTGAAACAACAAGCCCCCAGGGTGTGGAACAACAAGCCCCCAGGGTGTGAAACAACAAGCCCCCAGGGTGTGGAACAACAAGCCCCCAGGGTGTGGAA